TAACTATCAGATTTGAAAAAGAAGAAAAGTTTCGATCAATTGTAGTGTAGTGAAGGTACAGTGAAACAGGAACACTTTTTCTTTTCTTAAAATGCATTTTATTGAAATATAATTTATGTACAGTGAAATACATAAAACTAAATTGCCTTGGTTCATTTTTTTTTCCCTCCCCCCCCCGGCAACCAACGAAGAAAGTTTCCCACCATATATAAATCTTTCCTTGACCCTCCACAACAATGAACTAATACTATATTTGTCCTTCTATGATTGACTTATTTCACTCAGCATAATGTCCTCCAAGTTCATCCATGTTATGAGGTGCTTTGCAGACTCTACGTTATTCTTTAGTGCTGCATAACATTCCATTGTGTGTATGTACCAAAGTTTGGTTATCCATTCTTCTGTTGATGGAAACAACAATGGGTTGTTTCCATCTTTTTACTATTGTAAATAGTGCTGAGATGAACATGGGTATGCATATATCTGTTCCTGTCCTGGCTTTTATCTCTCTAGAGGTGATATATACCTACCTAGTAATGGGATTGCTGGGTCAAATGGTATCTCCAATTTCAGCTTTGTAAGCAATCGCCATACTGCTTTTCACAGTGGTTGTATTACTTTATCAGCAGGATATGAGGGTCCCAATCTCTCCACATCCCTGCCAGCATTTGTTATTTTCTGTCTCATTGAACCTTGCCATCAGTGCTGGGATGAGATGGTATCTCACTGTTGTTTTGATTTGCATCTCTCTGATGGCCAATGATTGTAAGCATCTCTTCATGTATTTGCTGGCCACCTGAATATCCTCCTTGGTGAAGTGTCTATTCATGTCTTTCGCCCATTTCTCAATTGGATTGCTAATTCCTTTGGTGTTGAGGTGTTGGAGTTTCCTATAAATCTTAGAGATAAGTCACTTGCCAGATATGTAATTACCGAAAAATAGGAATTTGCTGTCATTTTTGTTATGTACTTTTTTGTGGTGTTGATTTCTTCTGTTTCATATAATTTTCTGTGCTGAGCTCTTTTTGTTTATGAATCGTGTTATCACTTCCTTTGTTGCTATTGCTTTAGCATTTGCTCAATATTTGTGCTGGTCCTCTTTTTTTTTATTTTGATGTGAAGGTTTATCATTTTTCTTTGAGGTTATCCTGTGATGTATAGTTTTCTTCCCAAGTTTAGAACAGTCCATTCTATCTTGTAATTGTCTTGACTTTCCTACTATCTAGAAGTTTTGTACCTACACCGTTTTTTTCCCTCTTTTTGATTTGTAGTTGTCCTCATTTGTCAACTGATGTCTCTGGTTCCCTGTTTACAATTTTGTAGGCTTATTTACTTTGGATACTTCTATATCTAGGTTGGTTTCTGGATTATGTCATCATGTGTGTTAATGGTCAGTTATTGTTTGCTGTTGCTGTTTCTCTGTCCAAAGGACCTCCCTTTATCATCTTTTGTAAGGTTTGTCTGGTTTTAACAAATTCCTTTGATCTCTGATTATCCAGAAATGTCCTAATTTCACCATCATATCTGAGGGACAATTTTGCTGGGTACATAATTCTTGGTTGGAAATTTTTCTATTTCAGGGTTTTATATAGACCATTCCATTGTCTTCTTGCCTGCATGGTTTCCGCTGAGAAATCCAAGCTTAGTCTTATTGGTTGCCCCTTGTAGGTAACTTTTCATTTTTCCCATGTTGCTTTGGGGATTTTTTCTGTTTTTGGTTTTGGTGAATTTGATGATGGTTTGGTCTTGGTGATTTTCTTTTGGGGTTCATTGGACTTCTTGAATGGACATAGTCTCATCTTTCAAAATACCAGAAAAATTCTCTTCCAACAAATCTTTGACAATTTTTTCTGTGGTTTTATTTGTCTCTTCCTGTTCTGGAATTCCTATTACACATAGGTTATTTCTTTTGATGTGTGTATGTTTGATGTTCATGTATCCCACATGAACCTTAGGCTTTCTTCATTTTGTTTTGATCTGTTTTCTGACTGATCCCTTTCCAAAGAAGTATTGAGGTATTTGCCTTCAATCTCACTAATTTTGTCTTCCATCGATTCTACTCTACTCCTTTGCCCATTCAATGTATTATCTATTTCTGAAAATTTAGTATTAATCTTCTGGATTTCTGTGTGTAGATTTTGTATCATTTATAATTTCTCATTTATTTTGTCATTTTGTTCTTGTACTGTCTTTCAAAATTGTTTTAGAGTGTTCTCCTTAATTTTGTCAGCATTTTCCTTGATCTATCTCTCAATTTGTTGAAAGTACCTAAATATAATTCTTTCGAATTCCTTATCAGGGTGTTCCAATGCTGCATCTTCTTCAGGGATGTGTTTTGGGTTTGTATCTGGTCCCTTGGTTCTCCTGCATTATCTTGCTTCTTTGTGTGGACTCTGAGGCATTGTGAACGTATTTGTGTTTACATTTAATTGGTGACTGTATGTTGGAGTGACTTGTCCATGATTTTTTTTTCTTTGTATGTTATCTACGTAAGCAGGGTACTATGCTATGCTCCTCTAATTGCTAGTTGGCAACACTTATACACTCACCACCTGTCTCCTTTCCTATTGTCAGCCTCCCGTATATCCCTGCCATCCTTGGCAAACAGAGCCTATTCTTAGGTCCCTGGAATTGGAGTGAGAATGCTGTCACTTTAAAATCCAAAATGGCCACCCCTTGTAAAGATTCAAAATGGCTTTCCTCTCGGTCACCTTAAATATCTAAAATGGTCACTGCTTATAAACATTCAAAATGGCTGCATTCTCAGTCACTTTAAATATTCAAAATGGGCACCACGTGTAAATAATCAAAATGGCTGCACCCTCCGAACAGCAGAAAGTCCACAGCTCAGGTTGTCTCCCTCCTTGCTGTTTCCCTTTCTAGTCATAGGCCACCAGTGCAGTCATCCCTGCAGCCCCTGGTGACCAGGATTAATCTTTAGGTCAATTCTCAGGTCCCGACACCACTTGGAAATATTCAGGCTGTTGGTCCTGTCAGAGTAGCTGACAGTCCACTCCTTCGACAGTCTCTGTAGTCACTGTTTTCGTTCAGGTTTTTCCATTAGTTGGTGCCTAATCCACTTCTGTATAGTTCCTTTCAGAGCTCAGGGTTCCAGGATTATCTTTGGTATCTCTGTCAACTGGTTTCTCTTTTCTTTGTTGAAGACAGTCTGTGTAGCTTGTCTGCCTATTCCTCTCTCTTACCAGAAGTCTCCGAAACAGGAACACTCTTAAAACTATTAGTGGAAACATAAATCTGTGCACACTTCTTGGAGGGAGATATGACAATATTTTGCAAAGCGAAAAATGCATATATATTTTGATTTAGCAATTCTACTTCAAGAAATGAATCACATAGCTATCCTAATACCTATGTGCTAATATTCAGGAAAAAGAATGCTTATTACTTCATTGCTTCAAATAGCTAAAAACAAACAAAAAAACCAAAATGCCCATTAACATGGAAGTGCTTAAATAAATTATAAAACATCTATAAAAATGGAGTACCATGCATCTATTAAGAAAGAATGCAGTGGAGCTCTTAGATATATTAAGTGAAAAAGCAAGGTAGGGAAAAATTACATAATTTAATTCTATCAGTATAGGAGAAAGGAAAACACAATGTGAATGTGCATTTGTATGTAACACGTATGCTTAGATATGTAAACAAACATTCTGAAACATACATTAACTGGGAGTGGAATGGGTGAGGGTAAAAGAAAAGCTTGAGACTTTCTCCTCTCATTTTATACTTTACTGTTGTCAATTTATAGTACTTTAAAAATATAATACAAAAAAAAACTATTAAAGATAAATTTTATTTTAACAATAAGTACAATAGTTCACATTAAATGGGGAACCCTCCATGAGAAAACCCTGAAGGGAATGGCTATATAATATCAGGGACCAAGTGTCGTTCTGATTTAATTCAAGTGGCATTTGAAAATAATTAATCAAAGTTTTGTCCATTTCCCATTGGATGTGAAAATCAAAGCAGTAAGGGGGGAAATCTACATTCTTTCTATACCATTAAAGTATGTCTAAATAAAATATATTTTAGCACAACTTAAATGCATAAGTAGGTCTGGCTGCTGAAAATTTTTTTTTTTAATTTCATTGTTATTTGGGTGAAACTTTACAGAGCAAATTCATCTCCCATACAGCAGTTCACGTATACTTTGTCTCATGACATTGACTGTAATCTCCCACAATGCCACAGTTCTCCTCCCACTTCTTCCCCACAGCCATCTCTTCCCTGTGTCCTTCCCTCCCATGTACTCCTGCCACCCATGCTGTCTCCCTGTGCATACATAGCCCTTCTATTCTGCCATGAGTGATCTCTCCAAGGAGTATATCTACTTAATATAAATGTTCAGCTTATATGCCTGTTTTTGTTTGGCTGGAAGCTACAGGAGTGAGTTCAATTCCAGACCTGAAGGGCAGCTAGGGGCCATAGTCTCAGGGATTCCACCAGGCTCTGAAATTTTTTTATTTAATAAACAAACAAAACAAACAACAGCTTAGATTTCCAGCCAATTATTCTAAAATGCAAAGAAAGCACATTTTAAACCCTAATCTTTTGAGGGGGATAAATGTATTCACTGCAAAGAAGAGTTCCACTGATATAAATGTGTTACATAACTTTATGTATTAGCTCTGGTGGCGTAGTGCCTAAGGCATCTGACTATTAATCAGAAGGCTGGCAGTCCAAACCCACTAGCCACTCCTCCAAAGGAAGGCTGGGTGATCTAATTCTGTAGTGATATCGCCTCAGAAACCCAAGGAGGGGGTGCTATGAGTTGGATCTGACTCAACAGCAGTGAGTTTTTGAGTTTTATGCATTAAGAATTACAAGCCTGAAAGACAAGCTAGCCTGAAGTCCACAGTATTAAGTTTTCACACAAAACTGGGAGTTTTACCATATTATTTTCTGTTTCAGCTACGGTTGCATGGAAGATTTCCCCCCTGGATCTTTATATACTGCTTATACCTTGTACTCACCTGTCAGGCTGTCTGGCCGTGGTGGAACCATCCTCTCATAAATGTCATACTGCTGCTGTCCAAATTGCTCCATATCGTGAACAGTTCTTTGCAATGAAGGTCCCAGATGCTGTGGTACAGCGGTCATCCCTGAGCGTTTAGGGGATGACGACCCCACCTGGCCTTGGGATGGGGCAGCTACTCGAGTCTGTGCATCCATCAGGGTTAGTGGGGACCCCACTCTGGTGGTGGTCTGGTATTGAGGGGTTGGTCCGTTGGGATTGGAAGTCTGCCGGGAGGTGACAGACCCAATCCGTCGTACAGCTGTCGGGGAGGCGGGTCTCTGTGTGGAGAATGGAGAGGCTGCCCGCTGGGCTGGTAATGTGGTGGAGGAATACACACTAGGGTTCAGTGGTCGGGAGTCGGTCACTGACGGAGAGCCAAATCCACTACCGAGAGAAGTTCTCAGTGACCCCCTTGAAGGAGACACGCCTGTGCTGATAACATAAGAAGGAGACTGTGCTCTAGATGGAACTGAACTAACTCTTCTCATGGCCCGATTGGCTACTGATGGCTGATGAAAGGGGGAAAAAAGAAAACGGGTTTATCCAGGGTTTTGTGTCTGTTGTCATTACACACATAAAAAAATGCACATAGCTCATTACAGAATGTGAATGTACTCTAATTACTTTAGGAATTTAAGTTCCTTTTCCTTTTTGTACTTTAGAGTCAGATCTTAAATTTTTCTCATGGAGTTTTCCTTGTTCTATTTTTTTTTTGTGTGTGTTTGTGTGGTTTAATTTCCAGCTTTCCCACTTCAGAGTATTAAAATCAATGAACAAAAAGAGATCTGAAAACATCAAACATTCCTTTTTCTTTGCATTTTCACCCTCTGGCCTACGTATTTTTATAATAAATATTTTATGCCAAATGCTACACACAAGTCACAAATGTGAAGGGTCACTGGAGAAATGTACTTACATTGTTCCCTGTGATTCAAAGTTTGGCCAAGGTAATGCATTTATGTAAAACAAAAAAAAATGTTTTGAATACATTGATCTAAATGTATCTAGAGGAGTATCTATGATTGTTTAGTCTTATGGGCTGGCCCCATTAACAAAAGGAATGTGTTCTTTCAAATTTGTGGAATATTATGAAGGGGGTTCATAATGAATAGTTATTTGTTTGGATAGCACTTGGGTTCAACGTCCTCCTCTGTGAGTTTACTCTCAATGGATGGCATGACTGACAAATACTCTAGCCAAATTTATCTGTTCCTTCAGTTTCAGTATGGCTTCTAGTGATTTCAGCAATTTTCTCCCTACATTCTTTTTTATCTATGAGCTTTTTAACTGGTGGATAATAGGGGGAAAAAAAATAAGTAAATAAGGGCATCTAAAAATCTGTTTCAGCAGGAAAAGAAAAGAAGGAAAAATGAATATAATTTCTACCATGGTTGATTTTACTACGAATCTATTTGTTGTTGTTGTTATGTGCCGTCGAGTCAGATCTATGAATCTATAGAATCCTGCAAACAGTGGGTCTAACATCCTTTTCGTAATCCTGTGTAACAATTCAGAAGTATGAAGTATGGAGAACTGGCCTGAGAGAAACAGGCACAGGATAAAGATAAACAGGCTGAGAAAGGACAACAGTCACTAGGGCATTGTGCTACAAGTTTAGTAACAAGCTATTCTGTTTATCTCCTTAGTGATTGCTAGAGTGCAGGTGTTATCAGCCCCCCCACATTTTTAGTTGTGGTGATAAGAAGCAGGGGTAAAATCAAGACTTGGTGCTCTCTCAGTTGTCACAAGAATATGTGTGCTTTACTTGCAGGTGGCATGAGCAGCTGGGCTAGCTGAAACACCTGCTCTGAGACCGCATGTGTGCTCAAGCTCAATAACCCTTGGAAGGCAATAGGCGTGGAAAGATCTGTGGAAGCTCGGGAATGGTAAATAAACAAAAGCCATGAAAGGGGGTTCATAATAAGTAGATATTTGGAAAGTTAAGATTTGTGCTTGGATTCACTCAAAGTGCTAAAACTAAGTAAACAAAACCCTATGAGTTGTTGACTACCAAAATGGGATGACACATGGCCAGAGAGTGAGTAAATGTGTTGCCCAGACTACCTGCAAAATACGTCTTACAGACTCCCTGGCAACATAATTCTGCTGTAGAAACAAAGTAAATAAGTAAATTTATCACATTTTTTTTTTCTTTTTTTAAAAAGGTAATATGATCACATTTTGGGAAAATTAAGAGATAATTTCTATAGTTAAGGTAATTACTGTTCAAAAGTATGACTTCTGACATGCTGACATAGACATTTCCCTCAGCAGTTGAGCTACTATGGGCATTTAGTCCAAAGCTTCTTCAGCTTTTCCACCAAAGCACAACAGAGGAGGAAAAATAAAATCCAAGGATCGGAGCAGGCAGTTTGAAGTAACTTGTTGCAAGCACAAAATTTCCTGTTTCATGTTTCTAATTACTTACAAGTTTTTCCTCTAAATCGTTAAGTGAAAATGCCAAAATACCACTGTGTTCATCTCATGCTATGTACCTGGAGCGCTTCCCATATCGCACTGTAAGAAGTATACTTTCAGTTTAACTTTTTTGATCATTTTGTCATTTTCCAGGTTTAAGAAACCACTGGGGAACCCTGGCAGATAGTCAGTCATCTTCACTGGTTACTGCTGGCTTAGGACTCCTACCACTTCTCTTAACCTGGCATATGCTGATATACAGATGTGACTAAAGTAGAAATGAGGGAAGAGCTAAGGACTTCTTATAAGCACAAATGCAGTATTAGTTTTTTTTGGCTATCAAGTTGAAAACTCTAACTTAACAGAATGGGTAAGTTTCTACACAATAACTTTCTAAAAGCAGGAATATATTTATATTTTAGCAAATGGTAAGAAATTTGGTTTCATGGAATAATTCTAGCGATGAAGGTAAAAACTGGGGAGAATGACCTAGACCCATTCTATGCAGGTGTGAGAAAGGTGCTCTCTATGACTCTTTATGGCATATTTTAGCTATAGTACTTTTAGGAACTCAAAATACTGAAGAGACTAAAACATTCCACTTAGTTCTACTGCACTCTCATGGATTCCACCCATCATGACAAACTTGTTGCTTCCAGAAGAATTACTTTCCTATGTTTGGGAATTTATCATAATTCATTCATAGGAGCTAATTACTAAAAGCTAATATATTTTTTAGGAGCTCTGGTAGCATAGTGGCTAAGTCACTTGCCTGCTAACCAGACGGCTGGCGGTTCAAACCCACCAGCCACTCCTCAGAAGGAAGGTTGGGCAATCCTACTTCCATAGTGATACTGACTCGAAAACCCAAGGAGGGGTCGCTATGAGTCGGGGCTGACTCGACGGCACATAACAACAACAACAACAATATATTTTTTAGGTTTCACGCCTAAAGACCCCTTAACATCATGGACTTGAATGGTGTAAAATGATTTTGCTATTTTATCCATTCTATAAATTCAAAATTGTATGTATTACTTTTACTTTTAACACAGAATACTTACAACAGATACTCAACTAGTAGGGTATTTCTGCAAAAAGATCTTGACATGTTTGGCTTACCTGAACCAGAGTTTGTCCTTCAGCTCTTGAATTCCTCACCAAATGGTTATTAGTTGATGCTATGAATGAATGCTGCTGTCTATTATCTGCCTTGCTCACATTCTGGCTGTTGTGGAAACTCCCTGCTTCCTGGTATCCACTGTCAGAGTAAGAATTCATTTGTGTTGAACTTCTTGAGTTACCCAGTGATCCTGCAGGAATGAAAGGGCAGGGAATTTCTTTATTATACATTTTAATGTTCATTCTCAAAAAGAAAATACTAAAAGCAAAATCCAATGCTTAAAATATAACACAACAGACCCTCACTTTCATGAAGAGATGTCTGCTCCGGTGAGTAGAGGGCACCTTGTTCTTGCTCTGTCCGGATGAGATAGGTGTTGGGATGGGCAGTGTCAGGAGCTCTAGGTTTGCTTACACTGGTATTCGGCACATCTGTAAGATGTTAAGTTTAATCAGTTAAATTTAATGATAACATTACATAAAAACTTTCTAAAAAAGATTCAGGTATCTGTTAATAACATTCTATAATCTACATGATAAGACAAGACTATTTTCACCTGAAACTGTAAATCATTTTGAATCTTATCTGTATTAACATGAATCAAAATTACTCAGTTTGAGTATATTTTCCTGAATTTCACAAATGTTCCTATAGTGATTACAAGTCCCAAATTAACTTATATACTACTACATTAAATCAAACACTGAAAACTGGCCTTAATGCCCCTTAGAAAACTCACCTCTTTGGTAATTTGCTCTAAGAGGATTAACATACTGTAAGTGAGAAGGTGGCTAAGTACCTAAAAAAAGATTTTCCATATCTCAGACTTTTAAAATAAAAATTTATGGTATCCATATTACTGAAATTGGTAATGAAATCTCTGGAGGTAGGGCCATGTTTTTATATTATACTTTATTCTGTGTACAATCAAAGAAACTCTACACAGTTTTCAGTGGTACAAACACTAAAACCTTTAATTTCCTACCCATCTGCTTCTTTTATTCTTTTCCCAAATGAATGAAGACAAATCTAAACTGATCATTCATTCTTCCAGCAGAACCCACCTTTCCCACTACCTTGTTTTATTTTGAACTGGACCACTTAGCCATCTCGAACTTGAACGAATAAATAAAAAATGCAACTAATCTCCTTCTTCCCCATTCCAATCTTTTTTTTTTAATAAATTTATGTGGTGTTAAGCATGCCACCTCTTCCTAATTCCATTAATTCAAATGTCCTCTTTTCTCTATTATCTTCAAAATATATTTGCTCATGTTCTGATAATCTTCATTACAAATCTATCTTTGCTCAAATTTAAGCATTATGTTGCTAACAAAACTTTCTTTAGGAATGCTGCTTCTCTCTCACTTCAAAGAGTTAAAGAGTTCAATACACAATGCCAATGATTTCAATGTTTTCATTAGTTTTTCCTTCCTTAAATCATTTATTAAGGGCCAGCCTCTCAGAATACAGTTATGAGAAGAGACCTGTGTGTGTTGAAAGGAGCTTCAGAAATATTTCCTAAAGGAAGTAACATCCAAGCAATATCCACTTAATACAGGAGGCCAGCTTAGAAGTGAATACAAGGCTAATGGGAGAACTGGGAAATCCCATTGCATTCTAAACTTTTAACTTGATGTAAAATTCAATCCAAGATTTTTGCTTGCTTAGCCTCCAGAAATATTCACTGACATTCTTACTGTAGGTTTTTAGCAGCCTATCTCCTGATACATCATTTGACAGTATACTTCTAGGTTGTAAAAGTCTATGACAGTTCTGAATTCTTACATTGGAATTTCAGTAAAGATTACAGATTGTATATGATTTCCCTGGTATATGTAGAACTATGATCTGAGTCTCTGTCAGGCTGATGATACTGAAAGTGATCTGCTTCATTTGTAAGTCCTCTGCTATGAGTTACCAGAGTTCTATCCATTTTTATGTGGCAATTCTTGAAGGAGTTTTATTAAGGACTAAGTAAAATACGTAAGAAAACTTGCTAGACTATAAGAGTTTTCCAGGGAATTAGGGTAGCTGGGAATTATTGCAAAGGTGATGAATGAAATCAGAGTTAAGCTGTAGCCTGCTTTATTCCATCCAGGAATGGAACACTGGAAAAGCAAATGTGAAACAGCAACAAAAACTATAGACACTGAAGTACCACTGTGGCAACCTCCAGGCATCTCATACATGGAGATATGCACTGGTTTTAAAATAAAAAGAGGTCAGATGATTCTTAGGTTCAGCTTCTGCACAAGATAAAACCTGAGACATTGATACATCGAAGCTTTTGGGTTGGAAACACCAGGTGGTGTACAGTGTCAGGATCTGAAAAATTATCACCATGGAAACCAAAAACTAAGAGTTCTGGTTATTCTGCCATCTTCTTTATTCACTAATAATAATAATAATAATAATAATAATAATAAACACATGCATACACCAAACACAATGCTATGAGTTTATTCCAACTCATAGTGATCTTATAGGACTGAGTAGAACTGCCCCACAGTGATTCTAAGGCTGTGAATTTTTACAGAAGCAGACCCAATCTTTCTCCCAAGGAGCAGCTGGTAGGTTCGAAATGCTGACCTCTTGGTTAGCAGCCAAGCCGCTGCACCATTCGGACTCCTTTAATTCACTGTCAGAAACTATTTTAAAAGGAAAAGAGAAAGATACACCTAGAAATCTTTTCACCAAATGGAGTATTTTCTCTCGTACCACGTGACAACTGTGCTCTTTTAAACTCTTCTTTAAGAGAATTATTTTTATAACATTAAGGAGAGCAAGGGAGCTCTGGTAGCATAGTGGCTAAGGCACTTGACTGCTAACCAGACGGCTGGCGGTTCAAACCCACTAGCCACTCCTCGGAAGGAAGGTTGGGCAATCCTACTTCCGTAGTGATACTGCCTCGGAAACCCAAGGAGGGGTCGCTATGAGTCAGGTCTGACTCGACGGCACATAACAACAACAACAACAAGGAGAGCAAGTACAAATTGCAAGATACTTTGTTCCATACAACTTACCAGAATCTCAACGTATCAAAAAATGTGAAACCAAACAGTCAAACAAAATTACTCCAGATGTAATATAACATGTTACTTCTAAATGTTACTCCTTGACTCTTACAAACAGAACAAAACACTTATATTTTCAAATGTAGCATCCCAGAAAACAGAATATGGAAAATGACATTGAAATGGTAACCAGAACACTAAAATACTAAATTCTCATGTACCCAGAATCCAATCTAATTATCTAAGTAAATAATATGATTAAGGTAGGGGGTATAAATTTTGTTCCTGATTTTTAAGCAAAATATAAAAATTTAAAGTTTTAAAAAGCTGCTAAGAGACTCATTTAACATGAGCTATAGAATAATCAATTTCTATACTATAAAAAAGATTTCCAGTGATTTTCCTACTTCTTTAGTGGAGTCCAAAGATATGACATATAGATGTCTGCAAAGATCATGAGATCCTAAAAGCTCTTCTGAAGCATTAAAAGAAAGTGAAATCATTTTCAGAATAATTTTATATTATTTACTGTTTCTCTGAAGATTGGTAATTTACACATTAAATATAGGCAAGTATAAATGTAGACATGTACAACCCTTAGACCTCAGATAAAAAGACCCATTTCCTAATTATTAAAGTACTACATACTAGTATGGTAAGGTTATATCTATTAAATTTACATTATTTATGCAATCTTGCAATAAAAAGAATGTCTTTAAAAAATATTTGCTATGACTGCTAACCAGAAGGAAGGAAGGAATATTTAGCAATCTACTTTTGTAGACATACTGCCTTGGAAACCCAAGGAAGGGTTGCTATGATTCAGAACTGACTTGACGGCAGTGGTTTTTTTTTTTTTTTTTTTAAGTGGAGAATGAAAGAAGACATTAGTTAAATTCACTAGAGAAAGTAGAGACATATAAGATGTGGTTAATTATTTTGTGACCAATGCTTAAACTATAATTAAATAGTTGCAAGTAAATAGGCATGCTGTGATTTAGCAGGATCAGAACATGAAATTAAGACATTTTTATAAGTACAAACGACAAGCACAATGTTAATGCTCCTTCTTTAATCTATGTACTTAAGAACTTGGGCTACTTTTTAAAAACTCACAAATATGCCTTCTGGGACACCAGAAATACACCACTGGACATTTTCATACATCAAATTAGCATCCATTGAGAAAATATATGTCTGAAAATATAGAACTTGAACACACTTCAAGATAGAATAAAATACCTATCTGCATCTAAGACTGGAAAATTAGTGAAAGCATGGTCCTTGTCTGTTACACTTCATCTGAGTGTCCCCCTGCTTTCTTTTTTTTTCCCCCAAAGGCAGTTCATTAGAAAAAGTAGAAGGTGGTTACATCTGAGGGAAATATTACTGGATAAGGGATAATAATGCTGTAGAGCTGTAAGACTCCAGTATATTATCTACCTCATTAAGCTCATGGTGAAAGATGAAATAAAAATGAATTATTTTATCTCATCTGTGATGTACATCCCCAAATATGCATAAATTGTACATCAAAATAGGCTCAGTAAAGAGTCTGAGGTCTCCCTAAAGAACTTGCAATTATTAAAATGTCTCTGCTCTGTTAATATGTGTCTTGCTGTTTATACTGTATGAAAGGAGGAAGGTCTGCACTGTGTGTAAAATCACCATGGAAACAGGGCCTTGAGATCAGTAAGGAGATTTTTAGTGTAGATAGGTAGATAGATAGATGATATACACATATTTAACTCTATAATGATTTTTTCACAGTGCAGAACTCTATAACCTCCTACGAGGGTTCTCTTCTTTGTGCCTGCTCTGAGTTACTAGGGTATTTAGGGGCTTACCCTTAGGTGAAAAATAGCTGCAGTGTCAGTTTTGGCAGGACTCTTAGGATGGTTGTAGCACACAATGTTAAGGCAGACAATATTCTCTTTGACAGGAATCAGACCGACTACATCTGTGGCAAGAGGCAATGGAGAAGCTCAATATCTTCAGCCAAAACAAGGCCAGGAGCTGACTGTGGAACAGACCATCAATTGCTCACATGCATGTTCAAGTTAAAGCTGAAGACAATTAAAACAAGTCCACGAGAGCCAAAAGCTTGATTATATCCCTCCTGAATTTACAGGCCAATTTAAGAATATTACAGATACTTGGAGTTTGTTGACTCAAATATAAACTATTACACAGATGACATCCTTTAACAGTTGGATTTTGGTAAAAGTAAACAGTTAAGAGAAGGGAGGAAAGAAAACTGTTTCTTGAAATGATTTCCAGTGTGGTTCTATTGAGTATATCTAGGTTTTAGGGTCTTAAACACATAGTTATCTTTTAAATATTATTAAAACAATGGTCCTAAAATATTTTACTCAACTACAACATGTGTAGAATGCCTAGGAAAATAGAAAGCA